CATGCAGATGTGCACATAATTGCAGGCAGCTATACATGCACATATACAGATGCAAACACGCACACGCATGCACACAATGCCTGCAGGTGTATGGCCTGCCATGTGTGCGCAGCCCCAGCTCCCCGTGCCCTGGGCACAGGCTGTCTTGTTGCCCCACAACCCTACATGCACCCCCAGTCTGCCACCCTGCCCATCCTGCCTGTGCAAGTCCCACGGGCCAGGTGACAATGGCCAGAGCTTGCACAGATGCTCAGCACTTCCCGCCTGCACGGGCCACGTTCCAGCTGGGCCGGGCGCCAGACGCAGGTCAGGGCAGCACTGCTCCAAGCTGCAAGGATGCAGCCCCAGCCAGGGGCTTTCCAGGCACGGGACAGGCAGCGCGTCCCCCACGGGTCCTCAGGCGGGTGCTGCATAGCTCTGGCATGGGGGGAGAGCGGGGACAGGGCCAGGGCCCGCCTGTCACACTTCTTCCCCACTGTCCTTCCCCCACCACCCCAGGAGCCTTGTCTACATCAAGGCAGGCCGGGCTCTGCCCCTGCCCCAGCGGCTGAAGGAGCCCCCGGGAGTCCTCAGGCCAGGGTCCAGATTCGGTGCAGAGCCGGGGAGCTGGGGAGCCAAGCGAAGGCAGAGGATGCCCAGGCAGAGGCAAGGGCAGGGGCAGTGCAGCTGTGCCCAGGGCTCCTTGAGGGGTCTCCGGCCCCTGGCCCAGCCCGGCGTGGAGACGCAGACATGCCCGAACTGGCTCAGCAGTGTGAGCTCAGCCCCGGGGCACACGAGCTCTAGGGGCCACTCCTGCCCCCCAGCTCCAGCCGGCTGCAGGGCCTGGCTCAGGTGCTGGGGGGAGCCCAGGAGTGCTGGGGGCTTCTTCCCCGGGCCCCCAGCTGTGACTCTGGGCCGGGTTCCCGTACGCGGGGTGCTGCCGTTGACGGGAAACCCAGCCCCAGAACCCCCTGGCTGCAGCTTGGAGGAGCTGGACACGGCCCAGCGCCGTGGGAAGAGGGCTGGGCTGGGCCCGGGGCCAAGAGCATCAGGCGGCGGAAGCAGACTGACCCGGGATAAATAACCGCGCAGCAGAGCCAGGGCCAGAGCTGTGTCCTGCCAGCTCCCTGACGCACCATGGCTCCTCACCTCCTGCTCCTGCTGCTGCTGGCTGTCCTCGGCCTCCGCTGCCCCCAGGGTAGGTAGGGGACGGCCCCGCTGGGCCCCATGGGGCTGGAGGGGTTGGGGGCTCTGGCCCCTGTCCCTTCTGGGGGCATCCCGTGAGCTGGTCTGGTCTTTGCCACAGGCGCTGCGTGGAGCTGGTCACATCCCCCATCCTGGCGCTGGGAAAGTGGCTGGGGGAGCCACATGCCCTCAGCACGGGGGTGAGGGGGGGGGGTCCCTGCTGCACTGACAGAGCCCCAAGGCTGCTGCATGTCCAGGGGGACCTGCTGGGGCTGGGGCAGAAGCACGTCCCCTGCCCTGTATCTGACCGAGCCCTCCGGCCCCTCTGCCTGTCCCCAGGCTCCGATGCTGCAACCGACTGCTGCCTGACTCTCAGCTCAAAGCGCATCCCACCCCGGATCGTGACGTCCTACCGCGTCCAGACCCCCGAGTCTGGCTGCCGTCTCCGGGCTGTGGTGTGAGTACCCGGGCGCACCGTGCATGCCAGGGAGGGCTCGGGACTCGGTCTTGGGGCGGGGAAGGCGCAGCCCCGTCCTCACCACCGCTGTCCTGCTGCCTCCACACAGGTTCATCACCAAGCAGGACGTGAAGCTGTGCGCCTCTCCACACGCGCCCTGGGTCCCTGGCCTGATGAAGAAGCTGGACAAGAAATTGCAGCCCCCTCACAAGCCCCAGAAGCAGAAAAGGGGGCCCAAGCCCCAGAAGCAGGACCGGGTGTAAGAGGTGGGCACGGCCAAGCCGGGGTTGGAGGCAGGGCTGTGCGTCAGTACCTGGTCCCTGGTGCTAGGAGGGGAGTGGGCACCTGCCTGGGGTCTTGGACCAGCCCTTGCTGAGCTGGAGGGCACCTCCTGCGCCTGGCATCCTGGCCCGTGGCTTGTGCCATGAGCTGCAGGAGGGGCTTTCTGGGGGATGCCGGTATGTGGGAGAAGCCTCGGCACCCCTGTAACCCCCTCCCTGCTCTTCTCCTCCCCCCAGGACACCTCCCCCTGCCCCACAGAGCTAGGCCAGCTGCAAACATCTGTGACCTGCGCCACATCCTCTGCCTGATCTCTGCCTGCCCCGCGCTGCGTCTGCATCTCCCGCTGCACCCTGAAGCCTCCTGCATCTGCCTCTGGGGCTGCAGCTGCGATCTCCTGTTTGAAGCCCCCAGACCCTCTGTCTTGCACACCCAGGATGGAGACAGCGCTGCCGGGGCACGGGCATCCCTGGTCCGGCTTAACGGCATCTGACCCCGGCAGGACAGGTCCCGATCCCTGCAGATAGGCCCCAGGGAAGGCCAAGACCCCCGACCTGTGGTGGGGTCTGTGGGTGCAGGGTCCCCTTCCCATGCCCTGCCCAACCCAGCATGGGTCAGCGCCCATTTGGGCCCCGGGGGAAGCTGCCACATGAGCCCAGCCACAGGGTTTGGGGCAAGGATGAGCTGAGCCTGCTCCTGGCGCCCGGCACCCAGGGGCGTCGTGTTTCTGTGGCCAGCTCCATCCCAGCCAGGGCCCCACGGCTCATCCCCAGCTCCATGCACCGTGGGGAGACGCCAGCCCCGGGCCGGGGGACCAGGCCCTGCCGCACTCTGAGCCGTGGCTGTCGGAGCCGGGGGCCGGGACCAGGCCGGTCCGTGCGGCTCCCAGCACCAAACACCTCCTCGCTCCCTCGCACCTGGGTCCTGAGTCACCTGGGGATGTTTGCAAACCCACTCAGAAACTGTGAAGCTGCTGCCGTGGCCCCGAGCTCCCTGGAGCCACCTGCCGTGGCCCGGGCCATGCTCTGCCCACGGGGTTCAGCCAATAAACATGTTATTCAAACCAGTGCAGACTCGTCCTGGTACTGGGGGCCGGGCGACGTGGGCTTGGGGTGAGGGGCCCGGGCTGGGGATGAGGACCCTGCTCCAGCTGAGCCACGGTCCTGGTGTCTTTACTGCACAGCTCCTGTCCTCAGCAGCTCTTGCAGATGTCCGGGCCATTGTCCCCATTGTGCAGATGGGCAAACTGAGGCACAAAGTGGAACGGGGACTTGCCAGAGGGAACTTGAGAGATTGGTGGTGGAGGAAGGATTAGATCCTAGCCCACCCACCACTAGTCCATACTGCCTCCCTGCCACCCCTGGCCTCGGGAGGGTCCTTAGCCCGAGTGGGGGGGCTCACAGCACACCCTTGGCCTTGACCCCTGTGGAGCCATGCACCAGGGCAGCAGGCGCCTCCCCCTGCTTCGCTCCCAGGAAGGTGGCGGGTACCAGGGACCCGGGTGCAGGCGCTGGTGCCCACGTGCCTTCTCAGCACCTCCCGGGAAGGATCCGTGCAGCACCGTGCCCCCCACGCCTCCCCAGTGCTTGGAAACAAGGGGAAGGCGGCAGGTTCCCGGGGACGGGGGAGCTGTCTCTGTGCAGACCCGGGAGAGACCCTAGGGAGCCGCACTCTGCCCGGGCAGGCTGGACGTGGGGGGCTGAGTGCGACCCCCCTGCCCCGTGTCTCCTCGCTGTCGGGGACCACCCAGGCTCCCGGCTGTGGTCTCCCTGCTGCTCAGGTTGCCGGGGAAGGGCTGAATCCGGGGCACTGGAGCACGGGTCCTAGCCCAGGATGACGGGGCCGGACTTGGAGCAGGCCGAGCTGGGGCAGCGCGGGACCTGCTGGGCAATGAGGGGCACGGAGCAAAGAGGCCCTGGGGTGAGCCCGCTGTCCCGGGACCCGCAGAGCGCGGCCGGCTGGACCTCGTCCCCGCAGCTGCTGCAGACCAGAGGAGCCGTCCGATGCCCCGGGACGGCTGGAGCAAGGCAACCAGTCGCTGGCAGCGGGACTGTCCAGCAGGGCTGTGCAGACGGGAGCTGTGTGGAGCCGTGCCAGTCTGGCCCTGGTGGGTGGGATCTGGCCAGCTCCGAGCACAGCCCCATCCAGGGATGCCCCCCAGCCCCACAGCACCCACCTAGTCTGGGTCGTCCCAGCAGTGCCCAGGCTTCATGGTCACTCGTGGAGCTGGCCATCCCTGTCCCCCTGCCCCCAGGCCACAGCGGCAGGAAGAGCTGGGGAAGGGGCGTGGGGAGCACCCGGTGCCCTTGGCAGCTGCTGGCAACGCCTGACTGTCCAGGCTGGACCCGTCACCGGCCTCTTCCTTCCCGAGACGCGGAGCCAAAGGGAGATGCAGGGTCTCTGCCATGAGACTTCCCCCCCCTTAGCCAGAGAGCCCTGCCTGGGGCTGGGGTGGCCAGGGGCCCTGGACTGGGTGGGTGGTGCACAGGGGCAGCGGGAGGAAAGAGGCGGCTGGTGTGGAGAACCCGAGCCCCTGGCAGTGCCCTGGCCTCCAGCGGGGCACCCCCGGGTCCACCTGCTGCCTTCCCAGAGCCCCTGCCTCCGCGAAGCCCTCCCCCGGGGACCCCTGGGCTGGGATCCAGGGCAGATGCAAGCTGGCAAGGAGCAGGGTGGAGCACGGCGCTGTCCCTCCACAAGCCCAGTGGGTCTGGGGGGTTGGAGCCAGGGTGGGAGGGGACGTCCCCAGGGTCCAGCCCAGCAGCCTTTCCTAACCTAGCTGGCCTGGGAGGCCGGAGCTGCTGCTGGGGTAGGACTTAGCCCCTGGGTGCCGGCTGGGCACAAAAGGCAGTACGACAGCGCAATGACACCTCCACCTCCCTGCATAAATGCGGCCATAAATGCAGCTGACTCTGGGGAGGAGGTACTAAAACTGAACTGCAGGGCAGGGCTGGGGGCACAGGCTGGGGCAGCTTGCAGGAAAGGCTCCTAAACTGCATCAGGGCTGGGCTGGACTGGGAAATGAAAGCGAAAGGCTGAGGCCAGAGGGATAAAGAGGAGGCAGGAGCTGGCAGAGGCAGAGGCACGAGGGAAGGAGGCTGCACGCAACTTGCCTGGCCCCACTGCTGTACAGAGCCCAGCAACGCCGGGAGCATGGCCCTGCTCGGCCTGGCCATCCTCGCCCTCTGCGCCCTCCTGCCAGGTAGGGGATCCTGGCTCTGGCTCTGGGCCCGGCGCCTGGCTCCCAGCTCCGGGGCAGCTTGCTGCAGGGTGTCTCTGCAGGACAAGGGCAGGGCCTGGCAGGGGACCCCGATCCCAGCATGCACTGCTGCCTCCTACCGGCAGTGTCCAGGCTCGTTAGCCCAGGGTAGGCTAACGGGCACGGTGAATTAGCCTGCCCTGGGCCTGCAGTCAGGCGGCTCCTGCAGTCGGAGGCTCCCATTGCCTGGCAGGAGCTAGCACCTCTGCCCAGGTGTTCCCGGGGCAGGGCGACTGTGCCTCAGTTTCCCCCCACACCCCGCCCCACCTCACGCATCTCTCCTCCAGCAGCAAGAGGCAGCAGCAATGCCCTAGACTGCTGCCTGCGCACCAGTGCCGTGCCCATCCCTGCCAGGATCGTGCTGCGCTACGAGGAACAGCTGGCGCTGGAGGGCTGCCCCGTGGAGGCCACCGTGTGAGTGGGACTGGCTCCGTGGGCAGGGGATGGAGGGGCAGATCCTGGAGGAGAGGGGCACCCATGGCAGCTCTTGTGCTCTAGAGAGCCAAAGCCCAGCCCCGCCGTGGCCCGGCTGCCCCAGCCTGGCATGGGGGGAGCATGGCCAGAGCCAGGAGCTGCGGGCTGTGGGCGGGACGGCGAGTGGCCTGGACGCGAGCGGCCGCCCTCACCCGGGGCCTGTTGGTGCTGCCAGGTTCCTCACGGTGAGAAGCCGGCGCCTCTGCGCCCCGCCGCATCTGCACTGGGTCCGGCATCTGCGGGAGAAGCTGGACAGGCGGCACGGCGGCAAGGTGAGGGGCACCTGCCCGCGGGGACAGCCCCTGCCTGCATCTGACCAGGCACCTAGGAGGGGCTTGGCCCTGCACACACCCCTGCCCCCGCCCTGCCCTGCCTCCCCAACCCCTTCCCCTTCCCCCAGAGCGGGGGCTGCGCTGGCACAGAGGCAGGGCCTGGGTTCGAGTCCTGCTCTGCCCTGCAGAAAGGGCTGGGGGCTGGGGTGTCCAAAGCTGGCGAGGACCAGGCCAGGCAAGGGAGGGGAGGGGACGGGAGCCCTGCGGGTCCCGATCCTGCAGCTCCTTTCCCGTTGGATTTGCAGCGCTGGAGCGTGTAGAGCCGGCAGGGCGCTGCAGCCGGTGCCGCCTGGATGGAGGACTCTCACCTGGAGCCATTGGGACGTCCAGCTGCAGCGTCTCCCCCAGCACCGACTCCTCGCCCTGCACCTCCTGCTCTCCACCCTGGGACCTTGTCCAGGGGGATGGCGGGACCTGGGCAGAGCACCCCTGGCTGCTCCCCGATGGCACCGCACCGCACCGGCCTGGCCCGGCAGCTCCTCGTGCAGCAGGACGTGGGTGTCTGCGCTCACACCCTGCGCCGTGGGGCTGGAGGGAGCCCAGCGGGGTCGGTCTCTGCCCCTCCCTGCCCCCTGTACCCCGCGCTGCTCTGCTCCACGCCGCGGAAATAAAGAGGAACAGGAACACACGTGTCTGCTCGCGTCTAATGCTCGGGCCCAGCTCCAGGACCCCCGGGAGGGGCTGTGGGTGGGGGCTTCCAGCTGGGCTGGCACTGGGCTCCCGTGGCTGGTGCCCGTGCCTGGGGCAGGCCGGGCCCTGTCTGCTCTGCTCACTGACCCCCGGGGGAGCACTTGTTTTGAAGCTTTGACCCTGCACGCACACCCTGGTTTTCTTTTAGTTGTCCCACGCAATGCTTACGTAACTTTGGGGAGCCCAGCCGCCCAATTGTAGAGTGGCGGCCCCTGAAGATTTTTTTGTTCCTGTGAGTCATCTGTCCGGTCACCAGCCGGACGCCGGTACCGCCATCGGCCTCCCGACCGGGGTGGCCCTAAGACCTAGATGGACATTTAAGACTTTCAATAGTCCCTGTCTGCATTTGCCTTTGCGAGCCCCGGGCAGCTTGGAGCTCCCTCAGACCCCTCGGCAAGACCCCAGCGCTGTGCAGCCTGGTGGGGAGGAAAGGTTGAGCTGGAGGCTCCTGGGACGGATAGGTAAACTGAGGCCCGGTGCAGACTGCAGATCCCCAGGGCAAAGGCATAGAGACCTCATGCCTCCAGAGGTCTCTAGGATCAGGGCCACACTCTGGCCGGGGCTGCATCCCATCCCAGAGGGGTCATGCCTGTAGGCAGATCCCCCACAAGCCAACCAACCACGAGGGCCATGTCTCCCTGCACTCCCTGCCCTGCAGGCACCAGTGAAGCCCCTGGCCACCCCCTTGCGGCACCTTCCAGGAGACCCGGGTCACCCCAGTGCCCCCAGGGTGCTGGCATCCATCCACCTGGGACAGTCCCGCCCGCTCTGCCCTGCCCCGTGCCCGCGGTGTCCTGGAGGGGCACAAACCTGCACCAGCAGCTCTGGGGCAGCCGGGTCCTGGATGCAGTGTCGGTGCCTGGACTACTTTGTGCGGCCCCGGAGACCTGGACTGCACGGGAACCTCGCTGCCCCCGGGCCAGGGGATGGGACGTGCTCCCTATCCACCGCAAGGACCTGGAGACCTGGTGCCCATGTGGCCTGGTGGCCCGGCCCCAAATGCACTGGGGCTCTCTGTGCGGCGGGAAAAGGCGATGGCACAGAGGGACACGAGTCTCTGCTGAGCCCTGAGGTTGCCCGATGGCCCGGCCGCCGGCTGTGCCACTCCTGCAGGCTGGGTCCAGGCCGCTGGGCATGCTGGGCAGGCACTGGTATCAGCCAGGGCTGGTCGGAGCTGGGTACAGGCTGAGCGGGGCTTTCCCGCCCCTCCCGCCTGCAGCTTTCCCGACCAAGGACGGGCACGGGGTCAAGCTGGGAGTGCCACGTGGAACCTGCCCCCGGCACACCTGGGAGCGGGGTGCCACGGAGCGGGTCACAGCAGCCACTCTCCCCTGGCTGGGGGATTCCCACAGCCTCCAGCCGTGAGGGGCAACCCTGGAGTTAGACTGCCCCTATCCCAGGCAGGGACCATGCCTAGAGCACAGGGGACTTGACCAGGGCTCCCAGCTGCAGGCTGTGGCAGGGCTTGGTTGCCCAGAGAGGTGCCTGCCCTAGGCCAGCCCAGGCTCTGCCCGGATGCTTGCTGCAGAGTGGTAAGGGTCACGGCGGAGCTCATGAGTGGCTTTCTCAGGACAAGGACCATGGGGCGAACGTGCCACGTCCACCCCGCGCCAGGGATACAGCTGCTGGGCGTTGTCACCCCCTTGCACCCTCAGCCCCCACAAGGAGTCTGCGGGGGCTGCTCACACCCGGGGGGACTCACTGGGGGCAGTTGATGCGCAGGGGACGGGGCAGTGGAAGGGGCAGGAAGGCACCAGGCGCAGGTGCTCTTTGTCCCCGGTTGCAGAAAGTCCCCTGGTTCCCACACTGAGGAAGCGAAGAGCGGGCGGCCGGGCAGGGCTGGGCTCAAGCCAGCGAGCAGAGGCTCTGGCCCGCGGCCGGGCCCCCGCAGCTGCTCCCGGCACAAAGCCGACGCGGGGAAGCAGCGGGGCAGGAGCAGGTGGGGCTGGGCTGCACCGTGGCAGCCGGCCAAGGCTGGGGGACGGGTCCCCTCTCCGGCCGCGGGCCCTAGCCCACCCATGTGAGGCTGCAGGGGTGGCCGGGGCCCGCCAGCTTCCCCCGGCACGGCCCACGGGCGCTGCGCACCACCCGGCTCGGGGCCAATGGCAAACAGCTGCTCGGGGCCGCGCGGCTCTGCAGGGCTCTGACCCCTGCTCTGCAGCTGCTGCGGACGAGGTCGGCGTGGGGGGCGGACGACGCCGGCCCGGGGCTGGCAGCATTGGCCTCCCGGGGACTCGGCCTCCTCTCCTGCGCCATGAGTGTCCCGGGCCAGGCTGCGGCCGTGGGACCGGAGCAGACGGGGCGGCTGGCACAGACCGCGCCACCCTGGCTCCCAGCGCTGCCTGCAGTCGCCCTCGCCGGCGGGATGGCAGTGACCTTGGAGAGGCCCCTCTCCCACGACTCCCTGTTCAGCCTCGGTCCCCCCACGTTGCTCCCAGTTCAGAGCTCGGCCGGGGCAGCCGGGGCGGGCAGGCTGGTCCTGCCCCGGGGCTGCCACCCGCACCGCTGCCTCCACCTCGGCCCCGCCAGCACTTCCAGCGCCCCGTACGCCTCCCGGCACGGCCCGACTGCAGCAGCATCGCTCGCGGGCCCTGCACGTCCCCGGCTTCGATGCCTCGCTCGTGGCGGCTCCTCCGGCTGCGCAGAGCAGAGCTGGAGTCCCCGGGCTGGGGTCTCTCTCCAGGCCCGGGCCAGCAGCTCAGCCCCTTCCCCGGGACGCCCGGTCACAGCCCGGTGCCGCCCCGAGCAGCGAGACAGGATTCGGTCTCCAGGACCCGCAAACATTGGTGCCTCTGCTGAGTCTCGTGGGCTCGTGGCCCTGCCGCCCCCGGGACCCCCAGCCGAGTCCTGCTAACTCGTGTCCCAGTGGCAGTGGCTGGGGCAAGGGGGCTAGGCCATGCCTCCACCGTGGGCGGGTGGGCGCCGGGCCCCTGGGCTGAAAGCCGCGGCCCCAGCCCTCTGTAGCTGTAGTTGCCCTTCGCACTTGCCTTCTTGCGACCGGGGCTTGGGTGGGAAAGGTCTGGCCTCGGCACAGGGGCGCGGGGAGACCGGGACGCCGCTCCCCAGGGAAGTTGGCCCAAGCCCCTCCGGCCTCCAGAGCGCCCGGGACCAGCCCCCCGGCGCCCGGCCCCCCCGGCGCAGGTCCCTGCAGAGACCGGTCCCTTGGGCGCGGTCCGTCCGGGAGGCCGTCGGGGCCCTGGCAGAGGACGGGGCCAAGGGGCGGCTGGTGGGTGCCGTACCTGCTCCGGCAGCGCAGGCTGAACCCGGGCCGCGGGGTGCATCCCCCCAGCACCCAAAACCGAAACCGCCGGGTCAGGAGCGGCTCCGTGGGGTGGGGGCTTCCCAGCAGCAGCTAGTTCTGCTTCTGCCCCGGCTCCGTTTTGCTTTCGGCTTCTCGCTGTGCCCCGGTGACTGGGCAGTGCCACCGCGGCAGGGGCTTCCCGGTCCCAGCACTGAGCCCCAGGGCAAAGGCTCCCAGCACCATGGCTGGGCAAGCGGGGTGGCGAAGGGGCTGCTCCTGTGGGCTCTGTGCCCTGCGAGTCCCAGTCTGGGGTCTTGCATTGCCCAGTGCATGGACGGGGCCGCGGGGCTCTCCCCCTCAGCTGCCAAGGAGGGGAGGAGCGGGGAGCTGAGTGCGCCTTTGGCCGCCCGCACAGCTGCAAGGTGGGGCAAGCTGCTGGGGCGCGGGGCTGTACTGGGAGATGCTGGTTGGAGGGGCTGGGCCGGGGACCCCCTTTGCAGTGGGTTGGGGGGCTGTAGGGGACAGCCCCATCCCAGGAGCTGCCTGGAAGCCCCTGGGGCCCCGGGAGAGCGACCCAGCCGGCCTCCGCGGCACAGGGGCAATTCCTGGCTGGGACCTAGAGGCACGATCAAGGTCAAAGTCCCCTGAACCAAGCAGCTCTTGGGCCAGCTCAGCTACGGCACCCCCGGTCCACGGCCCCCACGGCCAGCATCACCCCCAGCACTGTCGCCTCCCTCCCCGACAGCCCTTTCCAGCAGGGTCGGTGCAGCCCCGAGCACGGCTCCGTCACCCCTGCGGCCCATGAGACGTCAGCTGCACCCTGTCGCAGCCCTGCATCTCCTCCACACTGCAAAGATCCCTTGCCCGGGCCCCGCCAGCCAGCTCGGAGCCGTGACCCAGGGGCTGGCACCGCTCCGGGAGTCCCGCAGCCCCGAGCACGGAGGAGTCGAGCACCAGGAGCCCCTCACGCATCCCCCCGTTCTCCCACGCAGGCGGGTTTGCCGTGCCTCACCGGTCCGGGCCCTGCCTGCCCCATCGCTGCCGGGGGAAAGCAGGGCAGCCCCACGGCACCACTGACTCTGGGGCTGCAGCTCTGCTTGCGTCGGGGCCGGTCCAGGCCCCTATCGCGTGCAGCGGGCAGTTGTGACCCCTCTGCAATTCAGGAGGAAGCCAGGCGGGTCGGAGGTGGGGGCGTCAGAGAACGGCGCAGCGGCCGGCAGGACGTTCCCCAGGTCTGGCTCTGCTCAGGCGGGACCTCGGGAAGGACAGTCTGGGACACTGGGGTCACCTTCCCTCATCCAGCTTCCCCTCCCTCTCCCTTTCACCTGGGGAAGGGGCAGGAGCCCAGGAAGGGAGGAAGGCTGGACAGACAGACAGATGGGTCAGCTGCCAGGGATGAACGTCTTTGGGCTGTAATGAATTGCACCTAAGAGTCCTAAAGGAACTGGCCGAGGAGATCTCTGCTCGCTGGCAGTCCTTTGTAATGAGTCCCGCGACAGCGGGGCCCTGCAGCCATGAGGCACTGCTATTCAGACAGGACGAGGAAGGCCAGGCAGGTCCTTCTGGCCAGTGCTCATTTCT